ATAGCCGCTTAGTGTAGAAGTACTGACTCAGAAAGAAAGTATGAGCAGTTGCCTTGGAGAGACATATTATAGGACAGACAACTTAACAACTGAATATTTCTATCAGTTGTGATGGGGCGTTTGTGCTCTCTTCTCTCTGAAAGTGCTGCGCAATCTCCTACTGCATTCTGTACCTCTTTTTCTATAATTAACCACCAATCTGTTTAGAAACGTGAAAGCATCTGCAGAAAAACATAATTTGCCAGACGCGCTCGATCAGACAACATTGCCCTGTGAAGCAGGGGCCTGTGAGGTCAGCTCAGAACTCATCACCTTCAGTCGCTCGGCGGTCGATTCCCAACACCAAGCGATATTGCAAGTATCTTGACATCAGAGCCCTAGGTGACAGGCGATATTATCGCCACGGCAATCTCTGGTCAGATCTTGAACATCTGCTGTGGGTACAGGGCTGCACTTTAAGGAGAGCGAGGAGAACAAACAAGCAAACTGGGTGGCAAGCGTTTAGGTATGTGAGCCAAATGCAGACATCCTGCGAGTCTCGCCGCCGCTTGTTGTTAGTACGCTTCGTGGGCCAGCAATGTAAAAACTAGGCCCTTCAACAAATCTAGCGCTCTGAAAACAGTCAAAATACATCTGATTTTCTGGACCGGATATGTATGGCTGATTCTCTGCTGGGGACGCGAAATCGCTACTAAAATCACCATGAATTTGACAGCAAATTTCTGATTTGGTTTCGTTAGTTTCTGTGGCGGCGCGCGGTGCGTACAATAGTCTTCTCAGCATAAGCTGATCGTCCGTTCATCGCTGACGTCAGAGTTGCCTTCATCAAGCGTAGCCGGAACGTGTGCGTGTCCTTAAAGGTTCCGCAAGACCAGCATTTTGGGGATAAACAAACCCTCCCAACAAAAGCATTAAACTCATTGATTTTCCTATGGTATGTGGAGGAACAGGAAAAAGCGGGAGTTTGACTTGGTGGGAAACATTTTACTAGACTCCTATCGAGCAAGCTGAGCCGATAGCTCGCCAATTAGGAACTCATAATTACAACTGTGAAGCTACATATGCAATAGCAGGAGCTTTGCTTACACTTAACAAGAGTCTGCCGTCTCATCAAGGTGTAACGTGTAATTTAACAGGAATTAACAAGAGGACTAGGAAGGTGCAAAATGCCGCTTGACCAAGCGGAACACTAGTGGCTCGAGAATGCGCTCACGAAAGATGGAAAGTGCAGGCAAAACCTTTTCAAGAAGTGATCATACATTTTCGAGTAACTTAGGCGATAAGGCCAAAATAATTAGGGGTAAGCCTGTTGGCAAGTACGAAGGGTCTTTACCGTTGCTCGGTCTAGGCATATAATAGGGATATGCTCTCATACGAGGAAAGCTCGTCCCAAGTGAGCTCTGAATGCTTTCCATGCGCCTGTACTCAATCAATAGTGATATCCGCGGCAGTCGCATTCACTGTGCTGATGAAAACCCACCCAGCAATCCTATTGTCGCCATAATCGGAAATGGCAATGTGGTCTCCCAAACGAGAGTTAAAGGGTGGTTGAGGAGACGACTGGGTGAGAAGCCGACGTTATCGATTGTGGAGAGTAAGGTGAAACACGTAAACAAGAATGAAGCACCACAATAAAGAACGAGCAGAATTGCTGTGCACTGTCCGGAGCGGCCGGCTCGAATTAAGCAGTGCTTGCCACAGTGAAATGTAAACTTCCAGGATAGATGCCCACTGCTTTACAAACGCCAAAAGCGGATGGAAGAAAACAAAAATGTGGCTCACCAACGTTTCACAAAGCGTACGAAATGTTTAATGACCCCGCTGCGCTTATTCCCAGAGTAGGATGTGACCAAGGGACGCAGTTGAGAATGAAAAGGATGTCCAGCTGGTGAGGCCACTGGGCCTAGTCGCGTTGAAGGGGAATCTTACAGTGGGAGCCGGCTGGGCGTCAGGACACGCCCATTCACGTGAAAAGCGTGTTGACATCACACCTAGCTTCGAGGGATGCACTTAGAGATCGTCGGTGTTCATCAAGTAGCTAAAATTCTAAATTGTTTACGAGTAGCATAATCTAACGAATCTGGTAGTTGGCCTAGAATTACTTTCGCGCTAAGCGTTCTTAAGGTCAAAATCACCTGCAGCTGATAAGTTTGTAATCACCTCTTGTTTAGTACCATACCTGGCGTCGCATCAGCAATGCACGCCTTTTCCTTCCAAATTTGTCAAGAATTCGCGTCTAAGGGGATTTTGAGTGGTCTGACTCTTACTATCACACGCGGGTGATATTGAACGCTGAAAACGGGCAAAGTATCATCTTTTCGTTGTTGGCCTCTTCATGGGCGCCTGTGCTAAAATGAATGTCACATAGGCGATAAAGTAGCGGAGGGTAGTGGAAATACCTCTGTTAGACTTCAAGTCCGCGAAACTCAAGGAACCCCAGCAAGGGCACATCTTTTGGTTAATGATTTTAGTCGATCCCGTACGACTCATCCACTAGTTCCGTCCTCTGATACAATCCAGGCATCGAGCGGGGGGGGACCTCAACGAAAAGATGGTCTCTGCCCTCCCCCCATTATACCTATCACTTTCCTCTTCCCTTGCACATTTTTCCCAGTTTTTCCTGACGGCACAAAGATTTTCTAATTCTTCTCAAAATTTTCGAGGGTGCAATCATACTGAACCGAAAAAAAACTGAAATGTTCAACACATTACAGGGGTCAATTTTTGTGCCTGTCAACGTGTGGTCGTTGAGATTAACGAGTGCGCTGATTTCGGAACAGCCGCCGCAAAATTTTATCTCAAGAGTGCAAATCGGCAAATGTGGACCTTTCCGCGGTAGCAGATCCTCTCGTAATCTGAGGCTTAAGTCTGCGGCCATTGAAACCAGAAAAATCAGAGGGCACAAGAGAAGGCGTTTTTCCTCGAACAAGTACGACCGCCTCCTGCTCCAGCGACTAATGAGGAATCCAAACGAGTGATGTCCGTGACCCCGAGACAGAGAATGAGTGACGCGGACAGAAGAAATGTATACCGAATTCATCCGGAGGAATGCAAATCCAAAAAAACAGATTAATGGTGGGTAGCCCTTGTGAGCGAGTTGACCGATATGTACCTATTCTCTTTCGCGGATTACCCAGGTTGCACAATGCTCCAATTCTCGAATGACGAGGTCGTCGTACACTTTTTCGGCTTACGGGGGCATTAACTTGTATTTAGCTAAGTTTGCACAGGCTACCTCGTGAAAATCATAGATTCCGCTGACCAGTGGCTCATTAAACAATCAGTCAACGTGCGCAAAATGGCGGCCTGCAAGTTGAGGCCCGGACGTCTTCTATTTGAAGTTGATGTTGGGAAGCCAAGAAACATGTACCCTATTAAGAGCCCCCGCTGACGCTCTACCTACTCTGGCAAACTTGCAGCCAGCTTGGCGAATACTAGCTGGCCTCGTGTGTTGCAGTAAGAGTGCGTCCGCGCCTAGAAGCGGCAGCTGCCCGGCCTGACAGTCTTCGCGTTTCTCGCACTTAGTGCCGATGGTTTTTTGAGACTGCAGGTTTGTCGTTAGACGTTCCGAGTCGGTCCTGTTTTTGAACGGGAAACGAAGCAACGTCGCGGTCAGGCAAGACAACTCGTCCGTGTGCGTGCCGTCGCTACAGCCTGTGCACAGCGTGCCAGCGCGGGCGCTGGCTATCTCGATTGGCCGCGCGTGGCGAGTCGGATGGAGGACAGTTCGAGGATTTTGTTTAATTTGATTAAGGTGTTCCGACCCCTGGAACCGAAAACTTGTCCCCATACTACCCCAGCGATTTGATGACGAGACATGATTGCCGAACATCCGCCACTTATCGTTTTCGGTCAGAGTTTTTTTTTGTTTCCCGCGATCCGGTCTTTTTCATCGAAGCTCCGGATCGCCCGCCGACGTCGATCGAGAAAATTCAGCCCGTGGGTTTCATCGCCTAAAGACTTGCCGCTCACGCCGCCTTAAAACCAGGTTTGCACAACAATTACCCGGCTTGGGTTATTTATGGAGCGAACGGCGAACCGGAAGACGGACAAGAAAATCGTGGTTTGTCGCGTCATCGTGCGCGTCGTATCGTGCGACAACTTCTCGATGTTCATCGGTTGTCGACTGGAGCAGCGAAGTTCAAATGAAGTCAGAAAATGTCAAGGATAGACAATGTATGTCCAAAAATAGACATAAATGTCTACCATGTCCTTGTCTACATGAAACCGATGGCTCCCACGTCGAAAGAATTTCAGTTGCGCTTCTTCGCGCGCGAAGGTTGCATTGCCTGCCGCGAAAAAGCGCGCACTGTTACGGTCCGTCTTGCGCCACTTACAGGTCTTCGGTGTCTACCAACTCAGACGAGAGAAGACGCCTGAGGGAATAGTTAATAATTTTCGTTTCTTCGCAACTTCTAATTAAACGGGTCCGGGCACGAGAACTCGTCCAGAGATCAGCAGTGTCGCTCCGTACCACGCCGCTCAGGCGTTAATTAAGAATTGTTTGTAATACAGGCTTCTTTTGACTATGCAAACGGTGCAACAAGTTTGGCTAGGGAATGAGACGACTCACGGTCGTGAACACTGTGTAGATAACGCGGTGCGCATTACATACAACACTCACCGAAATTTCATTTCATCGAAGTCACACTAGTAAGTCACTAGAATCGGCGCTTCGCAACGGCTCGCGTACATGACCTTCTCTCTTCTGGACTGCAACCATTTTTATTTCTGAAAAACTGGTGTCAGGCCGTTTCCGACATTTTCATAACCGAGTTTAGACTGTTTTAAATCTAAACAGGCGCTGAATGCCGAGGTAAGGGAAGGACTCGCAAAACTATAATGATTAAAATTGCATAGTAAAATATTCTAGAATTATTTTATCTCGATATGCCATAAAATAATATAGCCATATAGTACAATATTGAAACATCAGAAGAAGACACAGTGCACGGAAAAAGACTACGAGTTAAGAGACAATTGCTCGAGAGCACTGGCGCTTAGATATCATTCCATACCGCACTCGTAGCAATGGGATGTGCGGCGTGCCACGGGCCGTGGCTCCTTCTTGTGCGGAGCTTCAGCGAATATCGATTATTCGACATGAGGAATCGAAGGCCCAACTTCGTCAGACTAATCAGATCGGGACTGTCCTCTTGCACTGCATGGCCCACTTTGGGAAGAATCGTATTTTGGAATTTGCCTTGCATTTGGGCTATCTGAAATGTGGGATACCTCAACTAGGAGCGACCAACCTTCAGAGTAGAGTAATGACAGAAAACCTGACCGTTAGATCCTTATCGAGTCGATCAACACCCGCAAGTACTAGCAATTTTGGAGGGCCACACGAGAGAAACTTGGCCGACAAGCCTTGGAACCAACCAACCCAATACGGTTCCGTATCCATCAAATCAATACGCCATACATACTGGAAAATAAATGTTTTTTCGGCTGATTGATTTGATTCGGTTGCGAAGAAGCTCGACCTTTCCATCCTCAGTCTTTTTGATTTGTGATGGCATCGAGATCTTGGCAGCCTCTCGATTCCTAGTGGCACCTGACTGGAGGCACCACGTGATAGCTTTCTCTTCAGACTCAAAACTGCTCGGACGTCCGCGCAGGAATGTTCGCTGGAAAGTGAAATCGGTTGGTTAGCAAGCAATGATGGGAAGCAACGATGGGTTGGTGCCCGTGTATTGCAGAAAACTAGTAAACGGGGAAGTTCGCAGTTTTGCTGAAAGGGCGCCTGCTCCCGCAAATCTCATTGTTCCTTTCAGAGAGCTAAATGACTCAAATCGAGGCAGTGCGGTATGCTACCGTTATGGTGATAACGTCTTGATCAGTCGAGGCGCTGTCAGAGGTGGGGGGGGGGTTGGTTTCAGGGAGAAAAGCTGCTGCGAAACCGTCCGACCAAAACCTAACTGATTTAAAATGGAAGTGCTGCAGTATGCCGAGACAACCAACGGATACAGCGTATACGTGGATGAAATGTCCTAGCGAAAAGTCGATGAATTGCCCCACAGCCATATAAAGAGCGCATAACAGGCGCCTTTGGGGTCAAACATAGCCTCATTTCCGATGCACTAACTAATGTCGAAAACTTTCCAGCCGCTTCTTCGACAAATTAAAAGATTACAAAAAGGAACTCAAAAAGCACAGCGATTGAAAACAAAAATAGGAAAATCTCATAACACCCACCATTCCCGCGAGAGCATCCATAGCTGAACCTTCCACAACGTCGATGACCACTAAACCGACCACATTTGGAATTTCATCTGTGGCAACGACGTGTACCGCCAGTGCGCCACCCATACTGTAATGACTCGTATGCATTATGAATTCTGCATGAGAACTAACTTTTTCAGAGTTAAATCTATCGCCGTCTTTGCTATTTAGTTACCGAAGGTAAGAAAAGTTAGGTCGCGTTCGCAGTTAGCGACACCGAAGAACAGGGGAGTCGAAGCTTATGAGTCTAGAATGCGCGTAAGGGAGAGCATAGGTTCGTTATGGCGAAATGACAGAATATGTGAATGAGAGGTTTAAGTATAGGAGAATGCTTGGCGCCAATAGAGGGACACCTGTAAGCACTTACAACCAACGAATCCTATGAACTGCATTCATAGTCATACCGGATCCTTTTGTCAACACCCTATAAGTCCTGTTTTCATCTGTCGGGCACCCTGTAAACTTATGTAAAACTTTTGTGAATCACTAATTAAGATCCGTACAAAAAGGAGAACTGGCTTCCCAGTAGCGGTTGTACCAAGCCTTGGCAGGGGTCTACTGGGTACCTGACAGGAATTGCACGGTGAGATACGAAAGAAAAAAAAACCGAGACACACATTGGAAAAAGCTCACAGGTGTATCTCCCTTCTCCCTAGTTATTAGAATGCTCCTCAAATGGGACTCGACCGATTCCCACTCTCCAAATTTGAATCCTTCCAACGCACTACTCAATATTTTGACGTGCACTTTCCTATTTTTCCGGATCTCTACTTCCCGAACTCGCGATATTGACACCACGCTTTGCGTACCGCGAGTTTTCCTAAACTCCAAACAGGTACGAGCCATTACAGCTCATTCATTTGTCTTGATATCCAAATTATAATCTATATAGTTATCTATCCAGAACAAATGAACCACGAGTACTTCTAAACGCCCACTAATTGACGAGCATGGATTGGAAAAATACTAGAAGATAAGAAAGAAATGAGTAAAACAAAAGGAACAAGTGTGTAAGGTGAAAACGTACCTGTGACCAACAACACACACAAGAGGTGGATCCTCTTGACATTCGGCGCCGAAGACTGCATTATAAATTGCGATAATATCTCTGAAAATAGATAAATAGATTAACGATTTCTTAATAAAAAAAGTATACAATCACATCAATAATCAACACCAAAGACAATTTTCTGGTCGGGAAAAAGTGAACTGCACCTTGTCTGTCGCTCAACTGAAAGATCTTTCTCGTCTTTAGTATGCGTTTTCCCGTGTCCGCGAAGATCGGGCACTAACAGTCGGCATTGGATACGACTGCTAAGTTCAGCCTGAAATATCCAACATGACAAAAATGAGGACCAAGTTTCGAGTGGAACAGTCCCTTGGCCGATTATTTTGTCCTAAACATGGTCGAGAGCAACCTAATTCAAAGGTAATTAGTCACTATTAGGTCGTTGAAAAGGTTCCTGCAGTTTTCGACCTCAAATTTCAAAGTGCTTATCTGGGCTCACTTACAAGCTTATGGCACAACAAGTTCGCTCGTCGCTTCAGGACCAAACAAATCCTTGCTACCCTGAGCCGAATCTGCAGCTTTCCTGCCTTGTTTTAATAGGGATGAAGAAAAAATTGTGCGAACCGGCTGTTTGTCGTGATAGTTTCGACCAATTGAAAAATCAAAAAAGTCACTCCAAAACAAACCGATCGAGCTATCGGATATTATGAGAAACGCACTTCGAAACAATTTGGAATGTGACAGCCAAATTGCACAATGCAGCACAGAAAACAACACTGGAAAAGGGAGCACCAAAAACCGTAAGAGCTTTCCTCGCAGATATTGTCCACAGTTTCTCACCACGTTATGCTAGAGAAAAAACACGAGAAGGACATCAAGAACACATGGGAACGCGCCATGTCAATCAAAGCAAAATTACCAGAAAGTTGTCACCAGCCCACATACTTAAAAGCTCACCGCAAGACATGCCCATGTCAATCCAGAGTATCCGCCGCCATGAAGGAAATAAAATACTGGTCCAGTATTACCCTAAAAAAAACTTTCATTATAAAAAATCAGAGATTGCAAGACCGAAGCTTTCCGAGCTGCAGTCTTAACTGATGCGTTATGTACATGGATTCCAATAAAATGAAATTCTAATCATTTAATTCTAAGCGATGAACCAGTTTTTGTGCAGATTAGCTTGGTAGGGCAATAATGGTACCCAGAAGACCTTGCGGTTAAGGGCTAGGTTAAAGACAGCTGCCGCGATAAAAGTGTCATGGATAGTTGACGTTCAATTATGAAACAGTAGGTGATAAGTAATTCGCCAAAGAAGAAAAAAAGCAGAGACGTGCCTCATAAAAAACACCACAAACAAATATGCCCCTGTCCATTCAGCACCGCGCTGGCGGTCTCTGTGCCATTCCGTGGCTAATCTTATCAACATGCATGAACACAAAGCAAAGAAAAAAATACCAACAAAAAACCTAAACGTAGAGGAGAAACTCTTGAAAAGGAACTTTCAAAAACCCGGCGTCTGAATTTACGGTAGCATGCATCTTTTAGTGTAGTGTAGTGCGTCGAGCTTTTGCACTATGAAAACTCGTGACTTGGGTCGCTCGTGATTTTTGCGCGTTTTACCTTGCGAGATGGGTTAGAGTTGACTGTATGTGCTCCTAATGAATAAAATGTAATAAAGGAGAGCAGAATTATTCATGGGCACAAGCGGGGTCAGCAAAAAGGACATGCAAATCCGACTAATGCCCGCCGATCCAATAAAGAACAACTGAGCGGCCCTCCGTCAGAGGGCATCTAGCAAGTGGGAGGTGCAACTGGGCGGGCGTGTAGCTCGCTCGTCGCTCACTGTGGATTCGCGAGAGTGGGACAGTCTCTAGCTTGGGGGCTGGACTATTTGCACAGAAGGACGACCATGGACTACTTGAGCGCGGGGGCTGTCTTTAAAACGTGAACAACCGTAAATTTTCCCAAACATGTGGCTCACTTGCCCTTTCGCAGCTTGGCAAATGTTCACAAGTCACACCAAAATGAAGCCTGTTATTAAACATGAATTAACAAGAGAACAATCGAATATGCAAAAGCCCCCCTCCCCCAAATTCGAACTAATTTTTAGCACTACGACGAAAAGATGAATCTCCTACTCACCTTGAGATAGACGTTGAAGCTATCACCATCTACATCGACTTGGCGATTCTCATCGAAGAACTTATCCCAAGTGAGCGGTTTGGCATCACGTGTTCGTCCAGCTCTGTGTAAATTCGTGCTGAAAACTCGTATGAATCAAATTGAGTTGAATTTCTTGAACTGACAATAGAAAAGAGCAATGAAATTTTTGTCAGAGTGCATTTAACACGAATTGCCAGGGGCTGAGTGAGCCAGACCCTAAAGTTCACTCTCCCCCCCCCCTCCTTAACACTGTAGGAATCGTACGCTGCAAGAATAATCTAACAACCAACAATCAACAAGCATTTTTGACGGTGTCCTTCGCTAATCACGTCACTTACGAGTGTCAGGTGATTGCGAAGACACTCAATCTGAAAGGAACAGAACTATTTTCGGAAAACAACTTGTTTTGAAAAACACAAGTCCGATTAAACTGTAAATTTACAGGACCGAAAAAGAACTGCTGTGAAGGATTCTGCACAACATTCTCAAGCAGTCTATTCTTGTCCGCGTCCCGTCGAGAAAGAAGTCTATCGCACGCCATATTTTAGAGATGTAGCCCTGTTATTAGAGACCTACAAACCGACAGAAGTGGCGCCCTATAAATGGGATAATCCTGGATCTTAACGATAAGACAGAGAGATGAACTGAAAATCTGGTGTTTTTAATGAATGACGAGAGAGCACCACGTTTTCGAGGCGGTTCTTCAGATGGAGATTTCACAGACGGTTGCACACATAACTGCCAGCTGACAGAAATAACGGACACTCCACGTTGACCTAACAAACAATTAGGCTACTAAAGCTATTTTAGAAGAAGCGAAGGTTCGTTCAAAATTACCACGTATAAATACTCTCTTTGCCTCAGTTTGAACAAATCTTTACTCATGGGCGGCCCCTATCTCTTTTGCCGCTCAGTCACGCGCGTTCATACTTTGCGGCAGCGTTTCGAGCGACCGGGGAAATATAGGTATCGATCTAGCGTTTTGAGCGTCTACCAACTTTTCAGCGGCAATTGATAGCTGTACTACCCTAGACGCTCAAAACGCTGACGCGAACTATGAAGACATCTTACCTATCGAGCTGCAACATCGATACGTATCTAATCGCCGGCGATCGCCGGCATCGCGAACTATGACTACTATGGAATTTGGCTTACTCGCAACTACTCCGACCTGCTCAAACACACACGCACAGCCACGTGACTCCTCCAAACTAAGTTGGAACCAGATGACTTCAACTTCAGCGAGTTTGAATGTTTTTCTTGTTGAATTACCTCTCACCTTCCAGGGGGAGGCAGATGCTTCGTGAGAACTTCACGAAGCGTTGAACTCATTCCTCTCTGGATGGAAATTGAGCCAGTTTCAATGAGTCAGATGCGAATCACGAAGAATCTGAAACAGAACACGGTCGCTCTTCAGTAGAATGTCCCCTGCGACTACCACCAAATAACAAAAGATTCTGAAAATCACAACAAAAATGCGAAGTTTAGGCATCCTGCCACCAATTTATTCCCCAGAAAATGATGAACTACCTTTCTCGCTAATGCTCTCCTCAAAGCAAAGTAGGACCGTTAGTCCAAGAAACACATTTTGGCGCTTTGATGCAGCAAGGAACGATCGTGAGCCAGAGGAATAAGAGCGCGTTCAGACTTCGCCATCGCGCGATCGCAGTCTGAACGCGCTCTAATGGATTTATAGGGAGCGCGTTTATACTCCACCATTGGGTAGCTCCCAGCTGCTGCAATGGCATTACTGGTTTGGTCGCTATAAGTATGTACGCACTCTGACTCTATGTGGTGGCATTCAAAGAATATCAGTAAAGCAAGTACTGCAGCCTGCTTTAAAACAGTAGTAGCGTGCGTGCCATTCACGCAAGGAGCCAAGCGATCCAATGTGGTAGTGCAGGAGTGTGCCAAGTCAAGTGCATGGGAAATACTTGGCTAGTTTGAGTGTGGTACCGCGACTAGGATGTCTTGAACTACACAAAAGCTTTTAGAGAGGGGCTTCCAAATAGGTGAAGAGCAAAAGGGGTCCTCGCAACTTGTGAGAAGTGATTTACAAAGTTTAAGACAAAAAAAAACTTATGGCACCTCACGAAATGGTGCGACGAGGTAAATTACAATGTCCCAGTAGATTACACTGGAGTCATAAGCCCTTTTACCATAGTCTTTACCCAAAGGTTAAGGTATTGCCCGAAAATTTGGCTAAAAGACCCGTCGCATTGGAATATGCAATTTGAATTGCTTAGGATTGGCGCCAACAGCCGTAGCGCGGGAACTTCAAAATCAACATTTCCTGAATTGTTTCTCCCGCATTGTGCTCATCCTCCATTTCCCGCATTCTTCTACGCTTACCTTTTGCAAGTTATTAATTTTTTAATTAGATAACTCTCCGTAATATACACGGCCTAGCAACCAGAATGCATGTTACAGGCTCGTATCTAACTGTTTTATTCAACTCTGTGCTATATAAAACTTCATATGTAACTTAAAACCTTGATGAACTGGCAAACAGCAGTGCAGCAATAAGTATGAAATTTGCACATCGTCATAATAACAAAGAATTAGATAGCACTGGTCTCAAGCGACTTTTGAAAGGCAGGAAATATGCCGTAATCACGTACAAGTACAAATATCACATAAGTTATGTAAAACCGGTAAAAAACGAACATCTCCGAAATAAGAACTAGTTGAGTAAGCATTCTGGAACAGACGAAGTGATATCTGGAATTCGGCTCATAAGATAATGGTACTTTTCTAAATAACTGGTTCTAGAACAGCTGTGAGCATTATAATCTTTCAGTCCAGTATTTCCCTTTCAATTCACTGTAAACGCTACTACTAGGTTTGACATATCATGATGTGATTTCTATTTTTATAAGCATATCATTTCAAATAAGTGTTCTCTCAGCAAGCTAGAGCTTTCTTTCTAAAAAAAACACCGTCGGACTGCGTTCATACATCGCGTCAGCGTTCTGAACGTGCGGGAGCGCTTCGAGCGACTTCGGAAACTCAGGTACTGGTCTAGCGAACGCCAGCATCTCGAGGGACTAAGAAAGTGTAGGTATCGACCTGCGAAGTCGGCGAGAACCAGAGTACAGCAGCGTTTTCGCGGGCCTTTTCGAATTAGAGTGAACTGCCCGCGAAAACGCTAGCGGACGCTGGCTTTCGCTAGATCGATATCTATACTTTCCTAGTCGCTGCCGCAAAGCATGAACGCAGCTTGAGC